CCCTGACCCCCTGCCCTACTGCTCTATAATATTGCAACTAAAGAGTTGGTGCCTAGAGCCATGCAGGCCTTCAGACTCTGCTCCCATGGGGCCAGGACCAGCTCTAACTGGCAGGTGCTCAGGTCATGCTATTTGTTACGATGTTGAGTTTCACTAATCTAAGCTGCAACCATACAGGTGACCTGGTGCCTTCTGAAAGCCATCCCCTACCCCAGGTGCTGGTGCCCCACCCGAGGCCAGCAGCCTTTCACCTGAACCCTTGTCCCACTTGGGACCTCTCTGCAGGCTTCTTTCTGTCTGCCTGACAATAGCGACAATTTCCTCACATTGGATAATGTCTTTTGAGGCCTGGGGCTGGGTGTCATTCCTCTTTTTCTCTTGTAGGGCTAAGCACTCTTCCTTTCTTTTCCAGGACAACTGCTTAGTCTTACCACTTGGGCTGTTCAATTTTAGGCTGAAAGAATTTTCAGGGGAAAGCTCTGTTGACTACAGAATTGTCAAATACTCAATAATCCCTCTTCCCACCACCCCAGTATACCCTCTGCACCCTTTCCTTCCCCAAGAGTCTTCCTTCCTGGTCTTGCATGGGAAAGCAATACTCCTGTGGTCAGTAAATTCCATAACTGCTTGTTTGAATAGAGAAACCAAGTCTCGAGCAAGCCCAAGATAGTAAGGATCCATGAGTGGTTTTCTGTGTCTAAAGAAAATGTCCCTAAAAAGACAAAGGCAGACACACCAGGTATTCAGCTCGAAGGACCCTGCCTGGAAAATGATCCTGGGGTTGAATGAAAGAAGACTCTATGCATCATGTAGAGACAGAGCCCAGGTGAGTTGTGCAGAAGGTAGAAAATCAAGAGGGAAAGGGCAGTGAGACTCCCATAGCCACACCAGGGCCCAGGGGGGTCACTGGATTACCCCGGATGTCTGAGTGATGCTGATCAACCCCAGTTAATGCTCTTCTTTGAGGGAGGGTTAAGAGCTTGAGTCCAGTTGCAGCGCAGTGTTGAGTGAGTCCTCAGGACTCCCTTTGGGAATGGCTGCATGACTGACTTGCTTTGCATGAAGATGGTATTTATGGGGAAAAGTACATGGATGATTTGAAAACCACTTTTTTTCACATTTCAATATTTTTTTAATTTTGTTTTATTGCTTAAATTATTACAAAGAGTATTACATATGTCTCCTTTTTCCCCCCTTGACCTTCCCCCAGCCTCCCCTACCCCCCAGTGTCTTGTGTCCATTGGTTATGCTTATATGCATGCATACAAGTCCTTTGGTTGATCTCTTACCTCCCCCCCCCCAACCCTCCCCGGCCTTCCCGCTGTAGTTTGAAACCACTTTTAATTGACTTTATAATTTAAAAATTGTCGGAGACAGTTCATATGCAGTCTCCTCCGATCACCAACAAGGGGTGTGTCTAAGGCAGTGATGGCGAACCTATGACACGCGTGTCACAGGTGACACACGAACTCATTTTTTTGGTTGATTTTTCTTTGTTAAATGGCATTTAAATATATAGAATAAATATCAAAAATATAAGTCTTTGTTTTACTATGGTTGCAAATATCAAAAAAAATTCTATATGTGACACGGCACCAGAGTTAAGTTAGGGTTTTTCAAAATGCTGACACGCCGAGCTCAAAAGGTTCGCCATCACTGGTCTAAGGTGACAGGGAACAGTTAGACCTCCAGGTTAGGGTTGCAGATATATTTTGATGCCTCTTTTTGGCCTTCCCAGAACACCTGTGCTCCTCCCAGACATTACATGTAACACAATTTTCTGAAATTGTTGATTTCTTTGTTGTATTCTCCATGGATTATCAACTTTTGGGGAGCATAGAATTTAGCAGAGAGTAGGTATGCCAAAAAAAGGTTTACTGAATAAAGTAACATCATTGCCCTTATTTCTCATAGGGGAAATAATATACCAATGACTCACTATGAGTATGATAGGAAAAGTAAATTTTCTCCAAAAAAAATATGTAGTCTTAGAATGTTTTGTTCACCCTTAGTTACTAAGAATGGAAGGCCAATGGGGCATATAGGGATTTATTGGAAGTCCAGGAGCAGAACCAAGCCTTGGGAATGGAATGAAGTCTTGTGGAGAACCTAAAATATTGCCTCTCCTTTCTCTATCTCTGTATCTGCACCTCCATCTTTATGTCCATCTCTCTCTCTCTCTCTCTCTCTCTCTCTCTCTCTCTCTTTCTCTCCTAGGTACATCTGCGTTATTGTTTTGCTTACTGCAATCTAATTTTCTGTGATGCCTAGAAGGTATACAATGGCAACTCACACACCCAATTGTTACATATAATAAATAGATCCATCCACCCAGGGGATACCCCAAAACCCCAGGGAAGAGACTCATTGCTGTAACTGGCATCAGATATGCCCACCCATCGACCAGAAAAGCAGCATACAATGCACAGACAACCGAGTCCTGGCAACCAGGTATGTCATTGGAGCAGGTGGCGGGGAGGGGAGGAGAGGAAGACAACTCCTAGAAAAGTGGTGCAAGCAATATGAGCTGAAGTGGAAAAGGGAAAGATGCAAATAAATTTGTATTGTGTGATTCTATGTTAATAATCTGTAGGTCTGCTCAGATATGGATATCTGACTAAGCAGAGGGAAAAAATATGAAAAGCTAGACAGCAAATTGTCAATTTTAGAGGAATGGAATAGAAGGGAAGGAAATCCTATTAATTGGACTTAAGATATTTACTATTTGAATGGTCACAGCAATTATATATTACACTAGAGGCCTGGTGCAGAAAATTCGTGCACAGGGGAGGAGGAGGTTTCCATACAGCCTGCTTGTTC